TGTACCCCTTTTCTGCACTTAAAGAATCAATTGCTCGATAACCAGCATTGGTGATTCCAAAGTTCTTGCCTGCTTCCAGGACTGCTCGGTAAACAGAGACACAGGAATCCCGTGGAATGTGAAGTTCAAAGCCAAGCTCTCCTACAAAGGTCAGACGTAAGACTTGAACATAGTGACCAGCAATGTTGATGACCTTATGAGTTGAAAATGGAAAAGCCTCTAAGCTGAGGTCAGAATCTGTGATTGATTGTAGTACTTCCAGACTGAAAGCAGTGCATAATAACAATAATTATTATTAATAATAATCAATAACTAATAATAATTTAATAATAATGTACCTTTTAGGTCCCTGAACACTAAGCATCCCCATGTCATTAGTGTGGTCATCTAGCTGGACGTTGAATTGCTTTTCAGCCAAGATGTTTCGGATATGATTCCAACTGTGTTCGCCGATACCACCACCAATGGCTAAATAAAACCCATCACCTGAAATTATACATCAAAATACTTAGAGCGGATTTCGTATGAGTGGGAAATGGACGGTACTGTACTGTGACCGCAATCATACTGTAACCAAATTTTAGTGCCCCATTGGTTCACCAAAATTGTGCAGGCCAGATCCGGTAACTGTGTGGTAACCATGCGGTAACGGTGTCCCACTCATATGAAATCCGCTCTAATATAACATTACTTATCCTTTCCATCCCATCTCGTCCTAACTCCCTTCTCTCTTTTTTTCTTGTTTCCCTTTCTTGTTTTCCTTCCTTTCTCTTTGATAGTTTCCCTCCTTTTCTTACTCTTTTCCACTTTGTTCATTCTTTCTCTCCTTCTTCTGTCTCCTTTCTTTCTTTTTGTGTCCTCCCTCTCCTCCCTTCATTCTAATATATCTTCATTACTTTTTCCCTCCTTTTCTCCTCTCTACTATTTCTTTTCGAAACCCTTCCTCCCTTGTTTTCTTTTTGTTTCTTCTTTCCCTTCTCTCTATCCAGGCAATTTCTGCTGTAAAAGATAGTACAGAACTTTGAATATAGTATAATAATTTTAACCTTCAAATTTTGGTTTGACTACAGAGGATCCATCTTCACTTGACAGGACACTGACTGTCAGATCAGCTTCTACTCCGCCATCTTTATTTACCATACAGGTGTATGTGGTGCTGCCTAAAAACAAAGATAACACAGTCAAACTAAACAAAAACTGAAGAAGGGGTGTTGTTTGAACTTAGTCATACTCRGGGATTTGAAGATGTCATCTCACACAGTGAATATTTTTTGAAGGAGTTCAAACAACAAACAAAAAAGAAATATTGGAGCAAAGCTGACTTTACCCACACACTTTGCCAGACCTGCTAGACAATTTGGCCTTTGAAAGTGCAACCGTTGTCACGTAAGCATTCAAATCCCTTGCAGGAATCAAAACCATAATGTACCTGGGGGTTTCTGCATGTTTGCAGTAAATATCCAGTCAACAGCTTTTTGTGAGTCTGGTCCAGTCAAGTAGTACTTAGCAAAGTAAGACATGTTGAATATTGCTACTCTATTTCTACAGCCTGAACACTCTTGTCCAATCTACAAGGAAGGTCTTTTAGCTATATAGTTAGAGTGAAGAGTGGAGTAAAGTACTGTCATTAKAGAATGCATGCAGTAAAGGTAAATTGTGTTATTAGAATAGGATATGATGATGGAGTACAATGACTTACTACGTCATGATGGGGAGGGTAGTCAAACGTATACTCTGCATCCAAGAGGTCTCTGTAGATGTAATCCTTGTGGTTTTCTTTGTCATATGATCCATAATAGTCATAGTCCTTAACCTTAAAAATATACCAGAATGTTACTAGGTTCACTCCTTTGTTTATTTATTAACTCTCTCCCATTCTTTCATTCCTTCCTTTTGTCTTCCCTTCTATGCTTCTTTCTTTTCTTCCCTCCTTATTTCCTTTCTTCCTACCTTCTGTCCTCTTTTCATTCCTTCCTTCCTTTCTTCTTTTCCTTCTTCCTGTTCCTTCCTTCCCTTCTTTCATGCCTCCCTTGCCTCCTGCCTCCCTCCCTTCCCCCTTCCTTGCCTCCTCCCTTCCTCCCTTTATTTATTTATTCACTGCATGTATAGTACCTCTGGTTTGGTATTGGTCTTGAACCACCCTGGTCTCTCCCATCCATGTCTTTCTTGATAAACACACCCTGCATCCAATAATACCTGTGAAGAGTGGAATTGCAAAATAAGTAATAAACTTAATGGAGAAAGGTTTAATAAACAGATGGATGGATAGTGTAGTGGATGAAAAGTTGAATGAATGGATAAATAGATGAATGGATGAACAAATGGATGAATGAATGAATTAATATAAAATATGAAAGAAAGAGCAATCAAATACAATTAAATGTAATATATTTAATGTGGAAATGATAAAATGCAAAAATGAATGAGTAGAATGGGAAAATGAATGGATGAACAAATGGGTGGAAGGATAGATGAATGAATGAAATAAAGTAATAAAGAAAGAGCAATAATTATGTATTCAAAGTGGAGATGATAAAATGAAGAGATGGATGGCTAGATGTATGAATGGGAAAAAGAACGGATGGGTAAATGAATGGATAGATGAACACTAATGAATAATCAAATATATATGATTAATGAACAGATGAAATAACTGAATGAACAAAGTACTGAATGAATGGACAATTGAATAAATGACTGCAAGAAATCAAGCTGTACCTTATGGAAAGGATCACATCTCATGTTTCTACTAGCCAATGGTTCATCATGAGGAAAGACCATGGAGTAGTTTTTTGCGTATGACTCATGACTTCTTTCCCAGATCCACCTTTGGTTGTCAGTCATCGACGAATGAAACCGTCTTAAACAAGCATAAATTATCAGGTTAAAAACTGACCCTATAAAGGTACGCATTAATGATTATTGTAGCACTGATTTTATACTTTAAAAGTACATGCATGACGTCCAATATTTCTTTGGATTTGACACTGTTTAAATCTGCATAACACTGTACAATCGTTTTAAAGAGTCTATAAGGTATTATTTGATGGCTATTTGGGTCCCTAAAAGGCATACATCCTACCAGTTTGGAAGGAGTACCTTCCCCCCCCCTCCCCAAGAGATTGACTAAAGAAAACTATACCTGATGTCATATCCATAGAGATCCAAATCAGGGTGTCCATTAACAATCCATCGTGCAAGCTCTCTACCACATCCTCCAGCAAGCATAATACCTGACGAATTAAAGCCACACCCGAGGTAGAAGCCCCTCAGTTCAGGGACTTCCCCCATGAGAGGTTTGTGATCTGCCGTAAAGGATTCTGGYCCGCATACTGTTGATTTAATGCCGGTTTGTTCAATGATGGGAACTCTGTTGCATGCACCTTCAATRTGGACACTAAACACGTCCCAGTCAAGGTCAAACAGGCTGAAAGCGAACTCATTCTTAACCTGTAAATAATTAAATTTACAAATTATTTTAAATGAATATAAATTATATGAAAATATGTGTATGGGTCAGAATATGAAAATAACTGTATTCAATAATAAATATAATTTACTATTATTTTAATTCAAGCAATTGGACTTTGACTTCTGGTACCAATATATCATCATTCATTTATTAATAATTAATTATCTAATCATTGGAAATGTCATTATTTTTCATTGATACATCATTCATCATCATTCCTGTTACGCCTAGGTGGCATGTAGGGCCGCTACTAAGAATTTCAGATGATACATCATTAATCAACACCTTTTCCCAAAATATTGGATTTTGCTCATAGCCACCAACAGACAGTCCATCTCCTTGCAGTTTCARGTAAACTGAGGCATCGTGATCTCTGACATTAGGCATTTTTTGAATCCCTTCAATTCGTTCTGTTACAATATAAGCATGATACATTGCACAAAGTGGCACATTGACGGCAGCTAAAGAGCCAATATAAGGTGACCAAACCCCACTGCAGTTGACAACATTCTTGGTTTTGACATGACYGCTTGTTGTATCGACCCCTGTGACACGACGCATGCCAAAGTCATCGACCTCTGTTGTGATTCCTGTCACTCTGCAATTTTCGAATACCTGTTGACATCCATATTATTGATATCATAATTAGATGGCTATAAAGTTTAGTGTTTAATATTAAATGCAGTTATTTTATCTTTTTGTGCATAACTCTACTTCCTTTAAATTAGAGGCCATTGCATCATTATAATTAGAGACTTAATCTAATAATTTCTAATAATTTGTAACAATTTGTAATTCATTAGAGTCATTTTCATCCGTCTGTGAAACAATTACTACTAGTCAGTGTTTCATAGTAACTATTAGGGTGTAGTAGGCTACCAAAAGGCAAAATCAAAACTGTTTTTGCATAATCTGTTTGTCGCATGTCATAAAGTTAAACTATTAGGAGCTAATAGGGAGTAATAGTATTTAATAGTACAATTCCTATTTCATAGACTGACTCTAATTTGTAACAATTTGTAATTCATTAAGGTTGGATAAAGTTAGTTCTTGTATCATTTGCCCTTCGTATAACTGGTCAGCATATTAGTAATGATTTATCTTACAATACACCAAATAAACTTTCTTTCRGTATTAAATAGCTGTTAGTACCTTTGCACCTTTGTTAATTGCACCCCTACTCAATGCCGCTGCCCATCCAGCAGGGTCAATAGTACCATCTCCAGGGCTGTATAGCGTACCATACAAGTCACTGACGTTCATCAAAGGATAGAGTTCTTTGGTCTCTTCTGGATTTAAWACAAAAGATTCCACACCAAAGGCTTTACCAAGCTATTGTAAAATTATGCAGACAATTTGCTAAGCCTGGTTCATACCATGAATAACAATAAGAATATAGTTACATCAACATGAAGACAACAAAACTTTGAAAACCAATTTTATTAATGCATAAGCTATCAAGTGTACGGTAATTATATTGATTTTAAATGTTTTACACTCTTGTGTAATTAGTATAATTGAACAAATCATCATGCCAGCAGGTATTTGAAAACACCTCTTTCAAGGGGCAACCAATATTATGTCTTTGTTATCCAAACAAATGGTACACTGCAAAGTTATGTCTGAGATGGCCACATGGCCACAAAAAAAAAAACTTCTAAAGTTATGGACATGGTTATCAGAAACTAATTGTCAGTCCTGTCATCTTATTCATAAAGGATGCTTAAGGGATGTTAGCCATTAAACATCACTCCATAGACAATGGATCCCTAGGTGAACATGGTATTATGTCTAATGAAAACCGGGGAGACCTACGTAGCACGCAGTTGATGTAATGTATTCATAWAATGTATTGTATTCCATTGTTTCTCGTTCTATTGTATTATGTGTTTTGTATTATATCTTTATGAATATAATTGTATGAGGAAGTAGCTGATCCCATTAAAGAGTGCTCAATACACATAAAGTGTAGAGCTAGTTATATATATAATATCAAAGAGGCAAGATTTTGCTGTTACTCCGAGTTTCGTGCTACGCACTCATCAGACAGTATTTAATGACTCCGAGTTTCATGCTACGCACTCATCAGACAGTATTTAATGTAAATTAAATACTGTCTGATGAGTGCGTAGCACGAAACTCGGAGTAACAGCAAAATCTTGCCTCTTTGATATTATATATATATCCAAATTAAATACTGTCTGATGAGTGCGTAGCACGAAACTCGGAGTAACAGCAAAATCTTGCCTCTTTATGAATATATTACATCAACTGAGTACTACGTAGGCTCTCCCAGTGAAAACCAGACAATATACTTACAGTCATAAGGCGTTGGTACTCATCAAGTCTTTCTTTGTTATTAGCAATAAAAAGACCTCCATTCTCAATCCASCCTGGAAACACACCAGTTTCTTGCTCAAGAACATCTCTTGCTAGATGTCTAGTGTGTCCAATCAATTCTACTTCTTGGTCAGAGGGGCGGAGTCTCCATACCAGGCCAGCACTGTGCCACGTTGTACCTTAATAATTAGAGAACAGTGTTTTTTTTGGCAATTATGTTTTACTAATTACTAATTCAATTGTTACCTGCAGTAAGCTGATCTTTCTCCAGTAGAATAGCATTAGAAACTCCCATGGAAGCTAGATGATAAAGCGTACTGCATCCAAGAGAACCACCGCCAATGACAACAACATCCGCATCGCTGGGAAGAGATTGTACCGTCTTGTCTTCCTTGGAAGACTGCCAAAATTTAAGATTGATTGATATTATTTATTACTGGAGTCCCCATATATTAACGGACACCACTATAACATTAAATGTTWGAAGACCCGGCTCGGATTTTAAAACGAGGGGCTYGCAGGCTCGGCGAGGCTCGGATTTTACCATTCGATACCCTTTTGGTCAGTCGATATGGGTTTGACATAAGTTGACAGTTTCGCGCGTAAAAATATGACAATTCAGACATACAAAGATATAGATATAGAAATTGATGTCAATACTTAATAATTRACGACATTGATTTTAATCTTAGTTTTGATTTGAATTTGTCTGTAGCCTTGAACCATTGATTTTGGGACTCGTGATGTGACGATCTCAACGCACGCACGTTCAACAAAATCATTCTTCTTGTCAAAAAAAAAAGACGCAAACACACACACAAAAACAATTAAAACAAGGAAACAAAAAAAGCACTTGATTCTTGAGATGCAAAAGATTGTCTCTTTATGACAAGAAGTCATAAGTTCTTAACTAGTTTAACACGTCACTCAAGCTTACTTGCAAAGTTTGCTCGTAGGGAACTCCGGCTTGTACATCGTCGTGGGAAGAAGACAACAAACGGACGGATTTTTCATATAAATTCCATCTTCGTAAATGGACCGCTCTGTTTAAAACGTACCGCTGTAGACACAACATTTTATGAAGCAATGGCGTTACAAAATCATGGCGTATAAACTTCGATCCATAATAACAAAAGCGGAATGATCTTGTGTTGTACAAGTTCCACAACAGGCTTTTCCAGTATCATAACARTAGTTCTGATTGGTTGATGTAAAGTGATTTAGTGAGGGCATCCAATCGCAACCAAAAGAAAGATGTCAAGAGAGCTGGAAAGGGAAAAAAAAACACAAAAAACCAGAAATAAGGTCAAAAGACAGTGGGGAAAAAAGGAAAAAGTAGGAATGTTAATTTTAAGAAGTGTCCGTAAATTCCACATGCATTTCTTTTGTATTGACTTCAACGTTGGTCCGAATGCAGGCGGGGGTCAAAAATCTGTGACGTTATCAAGGAAAGGTTTTTTTTTGAGCCATCCTATTTTGTATTTCTCTATGTCGGATTACAAAAGATTTTCTAAATTTCATTTTGTGTCAGAGTTTAAACTCAAATCTTTTACGCAAAAAAACAAAAAAACAAAACAACAACAACAACAAAAAACAAAACAAAAAACACCAGGATTTTTAGGAAANTGCCGGCCTTAATCCCGCGGAATTCCAGGTACTCCGGGCGGAATTTTTAGTGGAATTCCGGCGGTATACCGGCGGAAATCCGGTGGAATTCCGGCTGGAATGTCTGGAAATCCGCCGGTATTCCAGCCCGGAATTCCGGCGGAATTCCGGAATTTTTTTTACTTGGGTGGTGTTTTGTTGCGTAAAATGAAATTGAGGGACATCCTGCAGCACAAAAATTTTGGCTCAAAACAAGTCGGAAGGAAGAGCAGTATTGAAATCTATCCCATTCATTTGGATTGTTCTCAAAATACCATTTAAATTGTCTAAAAGGAAAAAAAGAAATACTTAAATATAAACCAAATAGAATTTATCGAAAAAAACACGATACGTCACCCAGGAAGCTTTGCAAGCTTGACGCATGCGTTCAACCATTGACCCATGTAAACAACATGGCGGAAAACCCTGATGAACATCATCACTATCGTTCAGACCCAGAAAGATTAGAACGCTTATTCAAAGAGCTCGATAAGAATCAAGATGGTAAAATAGATGTTCATGAACTGGCCGAAGGKCTTCAAAAATATCATGGCGCCAGATACAGACCAGGACAGGCTCAGGTAACAATGACAATGTCATGTGGTGTTATTGCTTTCACACATCACATCTTCCTCTTCCAATACAGCGTCGTATTGCAAAAAGTGCCTGGATTTGTAGCTGCATAAGGTTTTGCAGAAAAAGCTTGCGAAGTTCTATTCTGCAGTTGTCGTTCCTGCGTTACWTTCTATGGCCGTTAGCACCTGCAAAACTTGTACTTTCTTGATCAGCAAGAACCATGCATGCATGAATAATTACTTTAAAGTAATTTCTCAAAATAAAGTATTATTTTAATTCTATTTTCGTTAAGACTAGGTTCCCTTAGTTGACTGTTTAATGCAAAGCTATTTGCKTTTTGATTGTAGAATATTACTTGTTTATTTTTAGCTCTAAATGGCTGTATTTGTTGAGTATTTTGTCAATAATATATTCCGCTTTTATCGATAGTTCTGTGTATGCGAACTAATAATTGTTGTCAGCTGGTCCTGAATGCAGATATAGCAGCATATTTTAATAGTTTTAGGCTAAACCATATTGTTTTTAAAGAAATTCAGATTATTTTTTCCCTAGAAACTGCAAKTTGAATCTACAATTAAAGCAAGTGAAAGTGCAATTATTAAAATATAAAGTGCGATTATTTTTTAAACAAACAGGATGAAATAAATTCAAGGCTTTCGTTTAATAAACAAGTTTGGGGCTATCATTTCTAGTTAAAAATATTTTTTTGCAACAAACAGGAGAAAATTCAAGCTGTTTGTTTTGAACATGGGTCCCACATTTATGCCCAAGTTTATTATTTATTAATGTGTGATATCCTTGTATGTAGATGAATGGTGAACAGTAATCTTTCTAATTTTGTAGAATTATTGAATCTATTGGCCTTCATGATAATGCAGTGATAAGGCTGCTATATTTTATAATTTCTACTTAATATTTAAATGGAAAAACTAAATTGCAGAACTTGCTGAATTAGAAGCTGTAATTAAGGCACTGTTTTGCTCAACATTATATTGTCATTGAACATGTTTGAATTATTTGAGYTTGGCATGGCTACCCTCCTTTAGTTATAGCTAATTGTAAATTATGTTGGACACTGATTCAAACCTCAATGTGCAAAACTAAGCGCAGTATTGGATAATTAATGCCAAATAAGTCAAAACTGATTGTGGCTCATTAATTTTTACAGTTGGATATATCATATGAACCAAGGTCAAGGTCAAACATGTTCTTTTTTAGTTTACATTAATTTTTTCTTTTATTGTCATTATTTAACTCGGCCAATATTAGGATGAAATACATGTACATAATATATGTTTTCATAGGATTATATATGATTCATTGATATTATAAATCACATGTCATTTTTCTGTCCTTTTTAACATTGATAAACTAACTTATTCTTTTATATTTTTTTAAAAATGATTTTAGCATATTATGACACTGGGAGATCAGAATTTAGATGGACATATGTCATTTGAAGAATTTGTTAAATATGCAACCGACCATGARAAAAAATTATGGCTTGTTTTTAAAAGCGTAGACTTAAATAATAGTGGTAAGTGTTCATTGATATCCTGTGAAAATCTAAAGAAAACTATTATAAAAATATTGATTATGAATTCTCTATTTATTTTACAGGGAGTGTAGATGCTTCCGAACTGAAAGTAGCATTCAAAGAAATGGGTGTTAAGGTTACAGAGCAGGAAATAGATCTTTTATTAAAAGGGTTAGTTCTTGTACAATAGTATGGATTATATAGTGTTCAAAAATGTTTATAAGTGACCATGAAAACATGACGATATCATGATGCCACGGTGTCATTTCAAGGCAAGATTAAGTGCAGTRTATGTGACGTGATCTAGCTTGATGCACAGTTGTATGAAGTCTTGTTCACATGAGATCATAATTATCTAARTTATCATTAACACTATTAATATCTTTTTTTAAATGTTTTTTTATTTATCATTATTTCCTATAGGATGGATAAAGATAAAACATTAAAAGTAAACTGGAATGAATGGCGTGAATATCATTTATTAAACCCCAGTGGACATAGCATTCATGACATTATTCAATTCTGGAGACATGCAATTGTAAGTACTTGTACAGGCTAATTTAGTTTTGGGCTTCCTGTGGATAGCACAGGCAGCCCAACACTTAAACAGAGTAAAAATGACATGTTTTCAAGGTGAATATCATTATTGTTCGTCCGAACTTACATAGTGTAAATATCTGAGAGAATTCACTGCACATGATAGTCGAAGTCAATAACCACCACCGACCACACCATGTGCCTTTCGCAAAGCAGCCTGGGTTAAAACCACAGGCTGCCCAACACATCTCTCCAACAATTATATTATTAGTATTAAAATAATCTATTACAGTACCAAAACCACAATCTTACTAACTTAAATCTTATTGGTTAAGCATTCATGACAACCAGTTCAACTGACCACTAACCTATTTTATAATGATTAATTAACATTTATTACTAAACATAATTTTATTTTTGTTAAAACTTTTCATAACATCAAGCAGTTCTTAAACTTTAGTATGAAATCTGTTTCTCTTGAGATAACAATCTCAATTGATAAGAAAAATTATGTTACTTCTTGGTCAACCACTTATCAACCACTTCATGTCAAACTAGCACCTTGAGGATGAAAATATGAAGAAGCATGGGCCATAATCTGATGTCCTTTTAAACTATTGCAATTCTTTGCATTTAAATTTAGTAGTTTTCTGGAATATAAAGTACACTTTGTTTATTTTTTAACGCCATGTGCATTATAACAATCCTTTATTATGATGACATGGAAAATAATATTTGTACCGATTGCTTTTCAAGAAATGTCCACCATAAAGAGGTATATGTGAATGTGCAGTTCATTTGACTCAATTTGGCTCAATTGTGTTTGGAATTTTAGAAATTTAATTTGCTACATTGTACCAAATAGTTTATTCCAAATATTTGTCCTATAAATGTGTATTATTTCAGTTTAAGATTATTATTTTGTAAAATATCAGTCACTTGTGTGCGTAACGCTTACTGTCTCATCATTATCATTATTATACGAAATCTAAAACAAATGTTACCTTGTTACTTCTGGAAAGGTAAACAAGGAATTAGCATTATCTATCACCTATTTTGTACTATTTGTTCCAAGTACTCTTGCTACCAAATGAAAACTTTCCTCTGTTCATGGTGCTTTAAGGTTAATGTTTTTTTCACAGATGAATTACTAGTCTGTTAAGAATATTTTTGTAAATTGTTTAGTGTATAGACATAGGAGAGGATATGCTGATTCCTGATGAATTCACAGAAGCAGAGAAAGTTTCAGGCATGTGGTGGCGACAGCTTGTAGCAGGTGGAGGAGCTGGAGTCGGTAAGACATTACTTCACGTATACCACCCTTGGTTTATCAATAAGCATGTTTAAATGATTTATTAGAAAGCATTATTTATACACAAGGAATCAAAGAAGTTTTCCCATTTTCTGTTTTTGTAGTATCAAGAACAGCAACAGCACCATTGGATAGACTCAAGGTCTTATTGCAGGTTTGTAGCTTTGTTGGTTGGTTGATTGAATTGTTGTTTGGTTATTGGTTGATTTATTAGCTTGCTGATTCAATGATTGGCTATTTGACTGATTGATGAATTGATTGACTGATTGATTGATGAATTGATTGACTGATTGATTGATGAATTGATTGACTGACTGATTCTTTATTTGTTCTTATTATTTTTTCTATAGGTTCAAGCAAGCGCAACAAACAGGTTTGGCATTGTATCTGGATTCAAAATGATGTTACGAGAGGGTGGTATTAAATCGCTGTGGAGAGGAAATGGTGCCAATGTTATTAAAATTGCACCTGAGTCAGGCATCAAGTTCTTTGCTTATGAAAAGGTACAAAATTATATCTAATATTATTTTATCATAATGATGTAATAATTTTTTATTGTAAGAAATCATAATGGAATACTATATTTTCTTTCAGGCTAAAAAACTAGTGTGTTCAGATGAAAAGAATCTTGGTGTCCTAGAAAGGTTATTGGCAGGTTCTATGGCGGGTGTGGCATCACAAACAAGCATATATCCACTAGAGGTATGGTTTTGATGGTTCTGAATGAATACAATGCCTGTGAGGGGAGGGGTAGGTAGATTCTACT